AGTGAATACATCTAATGTTAAAAGAAGTTATCTTCTCAAACTTAAATCTCCCCGAAGCAAACTAATGCAAACATTTCAAATTTACAATATAACTTGTAGGAAACACAATATAGCGACGGCTTTAACCTAGGTTGTCATAAAGAGAAGTCGGTGATTTATAATAACCGTATTAGTGTTAATCCACCTAAATTTTTTTAATATAGTGAACAAAAGTTGCGGTATGAAAAATATTTGGACATATGAAATGGAAAGAACAAACGACAACGAGCATAGTGCTAATTTAAGCAGGACAGTAAAATAACGGCTTGCAAGGCTCTTTCAGGGTTCGATTTGTTATTTTGAATTTTTAACGCCAAATAGCTGGCGTCTAAAGAATCGCCATTCTACTAGTGCCGAATAGCCTAGTTATGTTCATTACAAAAGCAGGATAAAATGACATAAAACTAGCCTGGTACAATGTTAATCAATAAAAGACAGAATTAAGGGTTGACATACCAAAACTGCCGTCAATAAGCACCCGAGTCCCCAACTTGATGTCAGCACAATTTTCAATTATGAGAGGCTCGACATCCATACCTTCCTCACCACTCGCGCACATCAGCATCGCTTGAGATTCAACACCGCGTATTTTAACAGGTTTGAGATTATATAGGAAAATTGCAATTCTCTGGTGCATGGACTCTCGTGAAACAAATTTGACAAGTCCACTAACCACTGTCCGAATATCACCTCCACCAAAGTCAACCTAATAAAAGACAAGTTTTTTTGGGGTATGACGACAAAAGAGTCATAAGTGAATAAAACACGAACCTTTTCAACGTATAAAGAATCGGCATTAGGATGTTTATCCACGTCAACAATACGGCCGACCCGAAAAAGCAAATTGCTGAAACCAAACTTAGGTTCATTTTCGGGGCTTATCTGCGACCTAACTGTAGCTGCTAAGGAATAGGATAAATCCTGAACTATAGGGAAACACTGTGACATACTTTGTGGCAGGAAGGTTGTTTTTTCGCAGGAAGCATACTATTATGGTTAATTGTAGCAAATTCACATTCAGAGTGAGAGGCTACTATAGACTTTGACTGAGGACAAGAAAACACTAAATATCAAATAATAGTCATAGTTACGTCCGCACTTCACTTCTAGGTGTAATAAGTGACCCTTTAGGGAGGATATTGCTTCATTAAGACGAAGGTTGTCACGAAGTAAATTTATTTCAGTATTTACTATCGACTGTGGGTCCAACTTACTCAAATAAGCGAGTTTCTGGGAAATAAGCTCTACCAAACGATGCATTGGCACTAATACAAGCCGGGCAAATCTAATAAGATATAAACAAGTAAGGAAGCGCATAAGTAATACAAAGAATCATGAAACTAGTTTTTTAGGTAATAAACCAATTACTGTGCTGTACCTTATTATCACTTAATATTAGTTCTTAATTCCAGTGATTTTTTTTTGTAAACCCTTCAGTACTGCATCAAACTATAAACATTAATATTCCGAAACAACACAAAGACAAACTTTAAAAAGTTCCATAGATTATGACAGATGAAATTTTCAATCGTTTAGTAATATATAATTAGTTTCTAATAAGATAATTTATCAGGTATATCGGAAGTTGCAACATAGATGTAGTTTGCTGTTGGTTTATGACGCATTTCTTTCGGAGAGACAAATAAAATAGATTAATAAATTCCTCTGACTGTAAGTCGAAGAGGAGTTCACTTTGGGGATCTGACTGCAAATTCGTAATCATTGCCCCTCGATCATGCTTTATCTTTGGTGAGCTTTCATCCGTAATGCGACTGACATCGTAAGAGCAGGACATCATGCTTTAGGAGAAGGCCTCATGTATAAATACATGAAAGGTTATTTCTCAGTAGTTGCTTTACCTGGCTTTAGCGGTGTATTCATGTTTTCAGAGACACAAATGAATGCATCATGTATGGAGTACTCTAAAATTTCAGTACCTGTATAAAGACATGACATATTTCCTCAATACAAGTAGCCATCGCCAATGAACCTTGCCCGTCTTGGCCTCAAATTAAACATATTCTATAATTTACATTGCTGAAAGTTTGGTATCTAACTTGCGCTGGTACAGTTATCCATCATATATGATTGTATAGACACATTCACCATCATAACATTTAACTTAATTATTTTGATCCACTCCGATGTTGTGCTATTTTGGGACCTTTTACTGAGGCCTGTTCACACTCTCCTCTAGTTTCCTTAACACTTCGACATGCTAGCCACTAAGCCACATTGCCATGAAAGACCTTCGCCCAAGGCCAGATGTGATTTTCAAGGAAGACCAGGCATTTTACCATAAAAATATATATGGTAAGATTTTT